CCCTGAACCCCAGGCCCCAAACCCTAAGCCCAAAAAGCCTAAGCCCTAAACTTAAGCCATCCTGGCCCAATCGTCCTCAAACCTATAGCCATGATGGGTCGCTCCAGACGCTCGGCCCCTCGGGACTTCTGTTTAGTAGAAACACATAAATCAATGATAGATAGCCCATGTACCGATTAGTACATCCGGCCTTAAAGTAGCCCCTATACAGGTACTTTGTGGCCAAAGTACGTGCCATTCAGGTACACGGACCCTTAGGTCTATGTATGTACATAATAGGTTTTGAATATGTGCTTGCTTATTTATATTGATCTTCGGTCTCTGTTTATTTACCTATCTATTTGCTAGGCCGATTGTAGCTCATGCATTGCGTAATCAGCCAATTCTACATTATTGGGTCCTAAGCATAGATCTTGGCTAACCAAAAATGCAACTACAATGTACCCCTAACCTAAACCCTAAACCCTAAACCCACAATGGAGACTATGAGTTCTGGAAAGTCCGTCATGCCCTTTAAAAGGGCAGCTTGTACCAAAAGAGCTCATGTGTGCTCTGTTGCAGGAGCTTGCTCAACATATCCCCCTAAGGGTCCATGTACCCAAATAGTAGATACTTTGACCTTAAAGTAGTCCCTATAATACAGGTACTTTGGGGCTAAAGTATATACTATTTGGGTACATGGACCCTAAGGATCCCGGGCATAGTTTTCCAGGAAACTTGCCCCCTGCACCAGCTCCTCGCAGTCTCGCACCGAGCTTGCCTGACCAGCCTCGGCTCCGGCACCTGTTAGGGTTTAGGGTTTAGGGTTTAGGGATGTCTTTGGCAGTTAGTTTCTTGGATAGGAATGTGTCGGCGAGCTTGTGTCGCAAAGGTTGGGCACTGGACAAGGAGCCACTGGGCTCCTCAGTGTGCTCTGTTTTGCACGCTTTGGCCTTTGCTGCCGCACCCTCTTGCCGATTCCTCTTTAGGGTCGGTTTGTCGGGTTTGTCACCACGAACCGCCTGGCAAGCCAGGTGGTTTTGCGAAGAACAGGAGCTGCCACAGAAGACGCATTATGTATATAGCTCCTAGGTCATGTAATATTCCACTGCATATAATACCTTGAAATCTTGAGCTGGTTCTGAAGTTTAAGATTGAAACCTGCAATGCTCGGCGGAGGGTTTAGGTGTAGAGACTTGCAGCTTGCGATTTTCCAGTTTTGGAATGTGGCGTTTAGGGTTTAAGGTTTTAGGGTTTAGGGTCTAAGGGTTTAGGGTTAAGGGTAAGGGCTCGACCAACCCGTCCTGACCTGAGTTTACTCAGGGTCAAGGGATACAGTCGGATACAACAGGAACAACACCGCCCAACTACCCTTCTTCTCTGGCCAACAAACGCCCAAGCCACGCAACCCATGCCCTACACCCTAAACGAAAACCCGTAATCCTTAACGCCAATAATCACCGGACCTTCTAATTTCCATATCAACCCATAACATTCAGACTCTATAAAAACCATTACACACTCATATAGGCCCCTGCCCCAAACTCCACACTATCATTATTATAAGTACAACTACTGCCACTATTATTCATTAACATTATGATAACCATTATTGCCATTGTTCTTAGTATTATTACTATGTATATTCGTGGTTACTACGATATCTTATTTGCTCGTGTTTTCGTGGCACCGCATATAGATAATGCATAGCTCTTATAGTTTCAAGGGTTGTTGTTGGGTATTGTAGCGGGTTCTGGCGCTCTTCTAGACGATGAAGTTTGCAGGCAGGGTACGGCTGAAAATTTTAAGTGCAAGTTACGAGGATGTGTGTGTGTGTGTTACACCAAGACCGTCAACCAAGGATCATAATGAAAGTGGTGATCATAATGACCAATAGCGCTAACTAAGGTATGGGTACAACATTGATAAAATCATTAGAACAGTACAATAAGAATGGTAATCCTAAGCCTAATCACTGAACCATATCCTAAAATTATGGTACAGCTGCTGGTTAACCCACAGATTCTCTAAGGATCCAAGCACTCTCCATTATAAGATTTTGGGGCCTTTGTTTGCACCAAAACCCCGTAAATAAGGACTACTTGGGGTGTAGAGTTTAGGAGTTTAGGCTTTGGGGTTTGCTTTTAGGGGAAACCTCAAGTCAAATCCCAAAACCTTAAACTCGCATCCCTAAATCCCCAATTGAGCCCCTAAATCCCAAACCATGACCGTATTGACCGCAACATCAACATCATGGCCGATGCAAACCCTGAACCCTAAACCCTAATCCCCGAACCCTAAACCCGAATCCCTAAACCCTAATCCCCAAATCCAACCCCAATCCCTAAACCCGAATCACACAACCACAATCTCCATACCCTCAACCCCCATCCCTAAACTCGAATCCTAAAACCCAATCCCCATACCCTAGACCCCCATCCCTAAACCCTAATCCCACACCCTAAACCTGAACCCCCTGACCGTTTCAAGATCGTGGCCGAAGCGTAGACTATACTCTTATAGTATACATTTGTATTAAAAAGTATAGGCCATTATTTAGGCCCCTATATTAGCCGTTTCAAAATCAAACCCTAAACCCTAGACCCTAAACCCTAAACCCCTAAACCGTTAAAATCAAGGCCAAAGCGCGGGCGCTCTCGAACTGTGCGTCGCCCTCGGCACCTGGTTGGAAGCCCTCCGGGAAGGGCGAGGACCAGTCCTCTTCGAAGGAGATGAGGCGGTTAAGGGTTTAGGGTTTAGGGTTTAAGGGTTAGGGTTTAGGGTTTAGGGTTTAGGGTTTAGGGTTCGGTTTAAGGGTTAGGGTTTAGGGTTTGAGGTTTAAGGGTAGGGTTTCGGCTTTGAGGGTTAGGGTATAGGGTTTATAAAGTTTAGGGTTTAGGGTTTAAGGTTTAGGGCTTAGGGTTCGGTTTAAGGGTTAGGGTTTCGGCTTTGAGGCACAGGGTTTAGGGTTTAGGGTTTAGGGTTCGGTTTAAGGGTTAGGGTTTAAGGTTTAGGGATTAAGATTTCGGGTTTAAGGCTTAGGGTTTAAGGTTTGAGGTTTAGGGTTTAGGGTTTAAGGCTTAGGGTTCGGTTTAGGGTCTAGGGTTTAGGGTTTAAGGTTTAGGGTTTAGGGTTTAAGGTTTCGGGTTTAGGGCTTAGGGTTTAGGGTTTAGGGTTTGGAGGACCACTCCTCTTCCAGATCTGAGGCGGGATATACCCCTTTAAGGGTTCCTTAAATGGTTCTCTGACGGGATCTATGAGGGTTCTATAATTGAACTAAGCAAGTATACCTTGAATCGTATTCAGGGATCCTGCTGTAATTAAATGTCGATTTCTGAATCAAGAGACTTTGGAAGATCTGGGTGCGAATGAGTTGAGGCTTTAACCCTAAGGGTCCATGTGCCCAAATAGTATATACTTCGGCCTTAAAAGCAGCCCCTATATAGGTACTTCGGGCCAAAGTATGTATTATTTGGGCACATGGAACCTTAGGGTAAGGGCGTTAGCGGCTTGAAGGGCGTTAAGACTTCAGGGCTCAGGGTCTTAAAAGCTACGGGTTTGGGGTCAGGGCTTTAGGGCTAAATCCTAAACCCCTCAACCCTAAACCCCTAAACCCTAAACCCTAGGGTTTAGGGGGGTTTAGGGTTTAGGGTTTAGGGGTTCGATTTCAGGTTTGGTTCGGCTCGGGGCTCTAGGGGTGCCCTGAAGGCTGCCATTCCCAAAGGGTCCTAAATACCTATAGGGTTTAGGGTTTAAAGTTTAGGGTTTAGGGTTTAGGGTACCTATATGGTAGAATGTAGGGTTTCTATATTAGGAATTACTAGTATGATTCGGGGAAGTATTTCCCATAACAGTACCTAGGACCCTTTGCCATTCAAAGGTTCCCTTTAAAGCTTCCATCGAGGCTTAGGATGAAGGGGTGTATGTGGGTAGTTGTCAAAATTAGGGTCCTTTTTTGGGGTACCCTAAATAATAGGTGCCGTATGATAATAAGGACCCAAAAAAGGACCATAATGTTGACAACCACCCATGTGTCTCGGGGGTAAGGCGAATATAGAAGCTTTGATAAACTCTCCAAGAGGGTCCGTATATAGTGCTGTTATGGAAGTAGGTCGCCAATATTAATAATAGGGATGGTCTTTTTGGGACCTAATTCCATAGTGGTAGTGTACATGGACCCTCTGGGCACTGAAACAATCAGGATTCTACAAGTTTTACCGGGATTCACCTATGTGGTTTTATCTGGCTTTTGCGTCTTTCAGAAGTGGAAGATGGCGTCGGTGTAAATGTAGGGGCCTTAATGATGAAAATAGGGCTACTATAATTATACTAAGGAGCCCCCAAAATCGTATAGGTAAGTATTTAGGCCCCTATATTATTCCAGTAGGACTTTGCAGGAGCTATACAGGCACAGGGTTCAGGGTCTGGGATATACCGTTTGAGGGGTAAAATAAGTCCTTGATTGCAATAGGGCGTGGGCGGGGGGGGGGGGCGGTGATGTTTCATGTGATAGAATTATGTATGGACTCTAAGGCAATACTTAATTATTCCGAATCCATTTTTTAATTCAAGGATACATGTACCCTTTTAGTATCTACTTTGGCCCTAAAGTACCTACACGGGAATGACTTAAAGCGTATATACTATATGGGCACATGGACCCTTAGAGTCACCATTTCAGGTATGGGGTTTCCAGCTCCGGAACTTTATTGTACGACTTACTACCAATTGTTCAAGGTTCTTTAGCATTTAGAGTTTAGGGTCTCGAGGTTTTGGGTGCAGCTGATGCAACCCCACATAGTATACTTTCAAGCCAATGTGCGGGTTTTGATCGCACGTGGTTGCCAAGTCCGTTGAAGGCAACAGCCGCGAAACCCCAAGCCCCCAAACCTACCCAAATCCCTCAAGGCCGTACTTTTGTGATAACCCATTCTATGCTGAGAACCCTAAAATAGCAAACTAAAGGTAACCAAAAAAATCTGGGTAAGGGCACCCTTCCGAAATCCCAGTTGGGGTCTGTGCTTTCTCTCTGGCCCCACAACCCTACAATGTGGTGAAGTTATTCAATAATTGCAATATCGTTCTTCGGTGTATAATGCATAATAATAATTTTATCGACGACACTCTTTAAATTCAGACCCCGATAAACCTACCAGAAACCAACCGGTCCTGCCCAAAGACCTTTACGTTGTTGCTGACCGGCTGGAAGGCCTTTGGCCGGATCTGGGTGAGTGTCCCTAAACCCAAAGCCCCTGAACCCCTAAACCCCAAAGCCCTAAAACCGCTATGGCTCAAACCCTAAACCCTAAACCCTAAAACCTTAACCCTAAACCCTAAACCCTAAACCCTAAACCCCAAAACCCCAAAACCCTAAACCCCTAAAACCTGAACTTGCTTCTGTTTCGAGCTCCGAGCTTTTCGCCCCAAAAAAGGCCGAGTTGGGGCCCAGGGGGAAGGGATGTGGTTTAGGGTTTAGGGTTTAGGGTTTAGGGTTCGGGGCAAACCGACAAAGCAACAAGCTGCGAGCCCCCTAGACTAACACGAAACTCATTGTTCAAAAATAGGCCTTGGGGTTGAGGGTTTTTTGGGTTTCGGCCGAAAAGCCTCGAACCCTGAAACTACAGGAGGACACCAGGTACACCATCAACGCACCTTTACTACCACTATGCTAGCAGCTAGGAAGTTGGAACATAAGTACCCTCATGACCTTGTGGTGAAGTATAGGGTTTAGGGTTTCCCTAGCACTAATCATCCTAAACCCATGTTCCAACTTTCTGGGGTTCACTCTATGGAATTATAGGCCCCTAAAGCCATAGTCAGGATGGTCTTTTACAATAGCCCCTAAACCCAAAACCCTAAACCCTACACCCTAAACCCTACACCCCACGAGTTTGGCGCCAGCTTCTGGAGTCGAGACGTTCCCCTTCAGACCCCCTATCTACGACCGGTTTAGGGTTTAGGGTTTAGGGTGTAGGGTTTAGGGTGTAGGGTCTAGGGTTTAGGGTTTAGGGTTCTGGCTTAGGGTTTAGGGTTCAGGTTTAGGGCTTGTGGCTAGGTTAGGTTTAGGGTATAGGTTTAGGGTTTATGGCTTCAGGTGTTATAGCCTATAGGGTTTAGGGTTGAGGTTTAGGGTTTATGGCTTCAGGTTTTACAGCCTAGGGTTTAGGGGTTAGAGTTTAGGTTTAGGGTTGATGGCCTAGTGGTTTAAAGGTTGAGGACTCCAAACCCCTGGACAAAAAAGTCTTGGAGACAAACCCTAACCCTAAACCCTAAACCCTGAACCCTAAACCCTGAACCCTAAACCCTGAACCCTAAACCCTAAACCCCAAAACCCCAAAACCCCAAAACCCCTAAAATGCTGAGGAACCATGGTTGTCCGCTTCTCCGGCGAAGGCCACTTGAAGCCTGCGACTGGGTTCAGGGGTTTGGGTTTTAGGGTTTAGGGTTTAGGGTTTAGGGTTTCCGGTCGCTTAGGCCGCCAAAGATACTACTGTTGCTGATACATATACATATATATATATATATGTATATATGCATATATATATATATACCCTGCATTACTTTGCGGACTGTAAACTCTGGGAGTTATGGTATATTCCTTATCATGCAGGATCTGTATGATCAACCGTACCATTATGGAAATCAGCCCCGCAAAGACCCTTCTAAGCATGTTTTTGGGTACCTTATTCCACAATAGCAGTATGCATGTATGAACCCTCGTGGAGTGTGCTTAGGCTTAAGCCTGGGCGCTTCGGAGCAGCTAGCAGCTAGGGGTTTAAGCTTTGGGGTTTTTGCTTCTCGGGTTCAGTGGTTTCACCGGCTTTTGAATACCCTCTCTCTCTCACTCTATATATATATATATATAGATATACATTTATACATATATGCTGGGGTGTGCCGCAACGTCGGCGCCTGAATAAAAAGACTAGGGTTTTGGGGATATAGTATATTATCGTAGAGGGAAAGGCATCCGGAAGGACACGACTGCTAATTGTTCACGCCCCTGTAGTACTATCCCAACGGCTCAGGGGGATTTAGGGTTTAGGGATGTTTAGGGTTTAAGAGGGCTTCGGCGTCTTCTCGTTTCATTTTAGGGTGCAGTGTTTAGGGTGTTTTGCATGCTGCTGCCGAATCAGCGTACCTCGCGCGTTTAGCTGTACACAGACTAACTTGGCTGTTTCGGCTCCACCCTAAAAAAACCCAGACCTCAAGCCCTGAACCCCGAAGCCGAACCCCTGAGCCCTCAACCCGAAACCTGAAGAACCTCAAAGCTCTAAATAAGCCCCCAACCCTAAACCTCAACTTCCAAAAACTCGGAAGTACTCTCGCAAGGCCTAAACCTAGCCCTAAATCTATAGAACCCTTAAAGGAACCCTAAACCTGATAGAACTGTTCAAGGCAAAGAGGGCCCAAAGCTATGGAATCCAAGGAGCGGGCGAAGTAGCCTGAGCCAAGGCTTATGGTTTGAGGGTTTAGAGTGTACTTGGAGGGTCGGGGGATTTAGTAAATGGTTATTGTATAGACTTATAAATACTATAACCCCAATTAGGGTCCCTTTTAGGGTACTTATAAGTCTACTTAGTATCTACTTACTAGGTCCCCCGACCCTCCAAGTAGGGTTTACCGGCGCTTATGGCATGAGGGCTGGGGTTTAAAATGGCAATGGGGCTGAGGGTTTCGGGGTTTGAGTTTAGGTATGGGTTTAAGGTCTATCCGTTCTCGAAAAGAAGTACAGTAGAGGACAGAATTGAACTTAGAAGCACGACGAACCAGGCTTGAAGGGCTGCGCGAATGCTAATTCTATACCCCAAACCCCTAAAAGCCCTCAAACCCATGAAGGAAACCCTAAACCCCTAAACCACACACCCCTAAGCCCTACAGTAAAATTTTCAACCCCTATTCCCTGAAACTCTAGACGCCTAAACCGTAGGCCGGGTTACGGCGAAGGCTAGGCTGGTCGTGCAACAGCGACAGAAATCACCCTAAACCCTAAACCCTAAACCCGCTGCTCTTGCAACCTTCCGAACTCGGAACATGCCGGATCTTTCCCACGCCCTATTCCCCAGACTTAGAGGATCATGGGACTTAGTAACTAGGCTTCTAAATAAGGTAACTATACTTATAAGTACTCATAACCCCAATTAAGGTAACTATAACCTTACTAAGTCCCATGCTCCTCCAAGTAAAC